CATTTTTCTCAGCCACTTTTCCCTTTATTATCAAGTTGTTATATAACCCTAAGAGTTAAATCCACTAATAAGCAGGTATTATTTTACAAGTCAGGTTCAAGATTCAAGTTTTGGAGGTAGATTAAAAAAAAAAAAATTCTTGAATGAATCAAACCAATGTAAATGGTGTACCCTTAAGATCACCTAATGAAGAATTAGTGTTAAGGTACACAAAATATGATTCAAGAACACTCTGGCAGTAAGTAAAAGAAAAAATGTCGTCACATATTTGGGCCTCAAAATTAATACCCTTTGGCTAAGCGGTTGTTGTAGCGTAGTTTTAGGTGTCGAATCCACAGGGAAGTTATGTTAAATCAACAAAAAAAGTTATCACAATGAGAAATTAAATTAAAAGATGAATTCTAAAATTAAGAATAAAAATATTTAAATAAAAGATGATAATCGTAAAAGATTAAAAACAATATTATGATGAACAAAACTTCATGGTTCACTTAATTGATTTGTTTAACTGTTATAAATTTTGATTCCTATTTATTACTCAATTGCATGTTTCACATCCCAAACAAACAATTGGAAGATTCAACTTTGAAAACCAATAATAATGACTAATGTATTTATTTTGAGAAAAATTAATTTAAATGGAGAACAAACTGATCTATCCTTACGAATTATCCGAGAGCGACAATATATTTAATCGACAATACTGCAGTAAAGGACCAACCCGCAAACCAAATCTACCAATCAATTGTATTTTAACAAATCACACATAAAAAGAGCATGACTAATCTTATATGAAATTTGATAAATATAATTTTCAAGGTTTTCAAGTCTGAAAATAATTAATAATCTCTCAAAAATAAAATTAAACAATAAAATTCATGAATGAATTAAAATAAAATAACAAGTCAAACTCCTCAATCAAGATAATCTCTAATCTTGTTGAAAGTTTAGTCGTCATTTGATATAATTCTCTAGCCAAATAGAAGTCTGGTAGCAGCCTCTCCAGCCATGGAACCCCCTCTAAAATAACTTAGATGGGTATTTATAGAATCCTAGAAACCCTAATTAGAATGGTTGTGGGGCTCACATCACAATAATTAGGACAGATATGATTTGGCTGAATTATTGCGCGAGGGGTCGACACTCTTTACAAGGTGCCGGCACTTTGAGTGGAGCGTCAACCACATCCTCCGTGTCGGGTTTTTGGCCTTTTGTGCAATTTTGGTTAATGGCAGAATAACAGTCTTGGTCCCTGACTCCTGGATTCCACGCAAGTTGATCATCATATTTCTGATCTTTGTAATTTGCTCCTTGCATTTAAGTCCTTTTTCTAATTCTTCTCCATTTAACATCAATCTTCAATCACCATAACATTTGCACAACATGAATAAAATGAACACTTATGAAATTATCTATAGAAAAATAAAACTCTTAAACCCATAATTCCACAAATGTCAATGGTTAAGCACACTTTAAATATACATTTTCATGCTTTCATCACAACTCCCAACCAGCTTATTGCTAGTCTCTAGCAATTCAAGCATGAATTAAGAAAGAAAGCATGCTGATTAGCTCAAAAGGGTATCTAGCAAGATTACCGAGGCATTTAGAAAAAGATCACAGTTGCTATCAAGATTACTTCAATTGTAACTTCCAAAAGTATATGTGTGTGAACTAAACATAACCTTCATACCACAAACCACAACATATATAGCCTTGAGAATTAATCAAAGTAAAAGCCTCAACTCCATATCCTCACAGGCTAATAACTGTTTAAGGCAAAGGACTTCTCTCATGAAGTTGAAAAGCAGCAAATCACTCAAAGGAAAAGGCAAAATTTAACAGACAATCAAACAAACAAACATTGAATAGAAGATAGGCTAGTTAGTTATTCAAAATTCCACTACTCGTACTCCAAACTAATTTCAGGATTTCAATCAATCAAATATGAGAGCAATACAAGTAGAGCCTAGTGAGAAAAATTGTTCCCTCAAAAGAAAGCTTGTCTTCTAAATTGATGGAAGACTTTATTTGGTAGGATTTTTTTTTCTTTTTCATTCTGTTTTTTTCTTTTTTTAAAACAAAGGAGGGAGAGCATAGAATTTCTCACATAACTAATATCACATGAACTATTGCAAAAGCTTCACATTTAATAACAATAGCTCTCTTTCTCTCTCTCTCTCTCTCTCTCTCTCTCTCTCTCTCTCTCTCTCTCTCTTTTCTTCTTCCTCTTCTTCTTCTTCTTCTTCTTCTTCTTCTTCTTTTTTCG